TAGTAACGACAATTTTTATAATTCTTTGGTATGATCAACTTGAATAATTTCATTCCAAGTTAGATCAAATTTTAAGTTATTTCAACTTTTAAATGTAAATACTAAATTTTAAGAACGATTTTTTTTTACTTTGGATGTTACTTATAAATGTATAAATGTAGTACTAGATTTACATATATTTTCAAACAAATTCAAAATTTCAAAACATTAGTAGAAACGTTTCCAAATACATTCGAATTCATTCAAATAGAATTGAATAACTTATAATGTAAAATGTGATGTTTAATAAAATGCGATTTATCGGCGCATTTTTTTGGCTGTAGTTTAATCAACAATTGTCTATACTTGTAAATGCGGTCCGATTACGACGAGCAATCCATCAAATAGAGACCAAGAACCTAAGAAACGTTCAATAACTTACGGAGCACAGTACAATATCAATCCTCTATTAACTCCAAAAATATGTTATTCTTTCCTATACTTCATATATATATATAGCTACATATCTATCTCTCGTGAGAGTCTGTGTTACTTTGTTTACAGTGATAATATAATTTTTTATACGAACTGTCCGTATAACGCGATGAATATTATAGTCCTAACTCCACAATGAAGTTGTAAGCCTGCCCCCTTATCCTATATTCTTTTTTTCATTTTTCTTTGCGTTTCCATATTTACACGAATATCTTTCCACGCTAAGCATACCCAAGCGTTTCCCAATTTTTTGCATAATTTCATAAATAATCCGCGACCCGTACATAAAAAAAAATACCAATCGCCTGATCGCCCCCGATCCTTCCCTTCGCCGACAAGTTCATTAATATTGAGACTATCGATTTCTAATTGAGTTCCAATATAAATCAAGCCTCAGTTCTCAAACGATCGTTCACGACACAGTAAATTTTTTTCTCTACCGGCGCGGAACTGACTTGGAGATTCTATGTTAAATAAATCTTATTAACGGACACACACATTCATCACTTTAGGCACTACATCTAAGACTAATATATCACTCCCCCACCACGGATGCAATAAGAAAAACATATGTACATACTACAAAACAATTAAAAGAACTAGATATCTATCTCTAATACGTGTTATTACATTAACGAAAGGAATAAACGTTACAATTGCGTACGACTGCGCGAGTGGATAAATAATTATTTATTATTTTACTCTCGTTTCTAGAAGAGAAGATCAGTGCCAATTGTACAATTAATACATAAATCTGATTCGTATCACGGGAAAAAATTTATCAGTCATCTAATTCTAACATGAAGCAGTTTTAACATTTTTAAATCACAGAAAGTTAAATTTTTTTTACATTTTAAATGATATTCCGAAAACTACTGAAAAGACAAAAGGAAACATCCGTGAAAGTTCAGGTGATATAGCTTAGACTTTGAAATTAGAAAAAAAAAAGAAACGGAATCGCGCATAACATTACATCGCTCTATCGGTCATTATGAATTATTTTTACTGCAGCAACATACAATCTCCCTTCCGCGTATAATCAAATGTGTTAAGATTAGGATATTCCTACATACTTTATATCTCGCGGTATATATGTATATATATATATACATACATATGTGTATATATACATATATATATATATACATATATATATGGTCGGGCATGCGAGAGAACCCGTTAAAAGTTAACTGCGACTATCAGCGTTATAATAAAATATCACAACTATATAGAACCATTGATACAGTTACGGTATCTTAACTTTCCACACAGCGTTTTATAGCGTCTCTACTTCTTTTTACTTAGGTAGTTTATCAGGTGTGTACGTGTGTGTGTGTGTGGGTGTGTGTGTGTGTGTTTGTGTGAGCATGTTTTTTTCTTATTTACAACGTATATATGCATTAAAATGACCATGAGTGCATTAACATGACTCGGAGCACGCATTGACCGACGAGCGACTCCGGAAACTCAGACAACATATTGGTACGATACAATACGAAATCAGGTAGACCTAAGTAAGTGGTCCGTGCGCGTTTTGTACCCTTAAAATATGTCGATATGTCACCCACCTAAAATGTCACCTACGTGTTCACCACCCTGTCCACGATCACGTGATTTCTTCCTTACACGTGAATACCTGCGAAAAATGTTAATATAACTACAATCGTTCGAATTTCCATCCGATCCTCTCGGTACTATTCCTCGAAATCTCTGTCAGTCAAGACCTGCTCGTGAAAAAACGTGACTAAAATCATTATCGAGTAATACACGCGAACTTATGTGACGAGAAATATGAGGATGAAACTTATCGCTATCGCATGGTATGACTACTTGTCTTACATGCGTGCACATGTATGTGTACGCACGTCCGACGTTGGGAGATGAAACCTAAGGATATGACTTCTTTCCTCTCACGACTCACGTGAAGGATGATTACGGTAGTATCTTTTTCCTTTTTTCCTTTTTTATAATGCGACGCGAGTATCTCTACTGTCATACGTGGAAGCATGTATGTATGTATTTATGTATGTATGTATGTATGTATGCATATGTACAATTGGGCGTGGACCGATCCGTTATGCCGAAACCGAGAGGTGGATACCAATAGCAAACGGTTTTATGATGATTGCGATGATCACTGATACGTCATAGCGTGCTCAGTCTATGTCGAAGAAAAAGAAGAACGGACTTCCCTCTCTACTTATTCCTTTCTTTTTTTCCTCATTACAATTAATTACCCAGTGTAAATACGATTATTCATTAAACAGGCACATCGATTGGTTAAATATTTTTTTTGTTTCCTCGTACAATGTGTACAAACGTATTGATTGCGTATACGAAAGGGCAAATTGCTCAATCTTAAGATAAGGAGAATAAACTGCGTAACTATAGAAACGAAGAAAAAGATGATAATTATAAAGAAGAAATAAAGAAATCTAGGGTTACTTTTACCGAAGCAAGTTCGGCATCGTTAGATTACATCAATTCGTCTGATGCCTCTCGATATAAAGGCACTCGAGAGATTTGCGAGGCTATCATGGACCCGATAGCCGTAACGGCCCTGCTCTATAAGTTAAATATAGTTAAATTGCAGCTGTATATCGTTTGTCGTTTACTTATTGTATCGCGTAAAGGGCTCTCTTCTCAATGATACCGGTAACATGTTTAAAACTCCGTTACACCTACACTACACTTGTATATCTTTATATATCTATATATTCTGTAATTTTCTCCTCTCTTTCTCTCTCTCTCTCTCTCTCTCTCTCTCTCTCTCTCTTTCTCTTCTCTCTCTTTCGTATACACTTTCGCTCTCTTTCACTCTCACTCTACGTGTAAAATATCTCTAATTAAACTTGGACGTGAATCACTCTAAACAACATACCGCAATGAATCCCATATACGCGAATATTACCGTTACAAACTTTCTATACATTTATATTAATAGAATTAGCGAAACAATGCCTATAAGCGTTATTCCATTAAATCACGAAATACATATATTAGCAATTGCGCATAATACGCCGATACCTGAAGAACGACGTGCGTACCATGTCTATGATATCGCCTGAGAATGATAAATAAGAGTGAAAATCGGTGATGTAAGATGTTGACTGTAGTTCGGAAAATGCAACAAGGAAGAACATGATTGAACGAGAAAAGCATAATTGCGAAAATCATTTCATGAAAACTATTTATAAATAGAATTCTCCTCTCCCAATTATCATTACTATTATCATACATGTAATATATACGCGGAAAAAGAAATATGTGTAATATGCGAATTTATGATATCCGCGAAAAATTCTATCATAAAACCCATTATGATATTTTATTGCTGTTTGGCATACATTTCTTTCACAGAATGCTTTCCCTTTTCTCTTTCCCTCCTAGCCTTCAGGAAGAAATCACTATACTCTGTACTCTGAAAAGATAAACTATCACTTTCTCATTTCTTTTTCTTTTTTTTTTTTTCACTAATTTGTGCAATGTACTTGATTTATATATCTTCCTCTTGTCAAAATGCAAAGCATGAATGGAAAAAGAAATAAAAGATCGTTAAACTTATATACAATTTATGACTCTTTCAAAATTGTGGTCACACATAATTTCGTATTTCAAACGTACCACAAACTTAAGGCATGCTGCCTGCAATATGCTATTTACACAATTCAAAACAAAATATGTTAGACGTAAGAACAATGATGATTAGCAATGAGAATGCTAATGGAGATGATAACGATCATGATGGAGATGAAAACAATAAGATGAACGTGAAGATAATATAAAGTAATAATCTAAGAATAATAAATAATGAGACTGTGTGTTCCAAAAAAGGCACGTCAAAGCTTTTGTCGATTTGGATGTCGTGCAATCACCTTAATAAATTGGTGACTCGATTCTAAATTCCTTGCTTATTTCTGACGAATATTCCTACACCTACGACAACCCGAATAATCCTATTCGAAGAAGTTCGGAATATGCGATATAACTAAATAATGTACGTGTGAACGTATCTGTATGCAATGTACGTGTATATGTGTATGTGTTAATGTATACTTGAATAACATTTGAATAACGTTACAAACTACAAAGAATAATGTGGCTACCTCATTAGTTTTGAGTGCCCGTTATGAATAAAATATCGTAAAAGATTATAGAGTGCTACATCCCTTAGCGATATTCTTAATGTAATCGAAAAATTCCACGAGCAAGAACAAAAGGAACGCTACTACAATTGGAAAAAACCTAGTTCGCTAAAATAATTTTGTTAAGGAGCATTAAAAACAAGATACTCGCGCGCGGTACGTCCTGCGACATATCATAAAGAAATGCAGACTCACTACACAGTTAAATTAAATAGCTATTATAAATCGCATATATTCGTTAATAACAGTTCCACGCGCATGTGGATCGGCACTGCCACTACGTGCATATCTCGTCTATCGTTGATATTAACGTTCCCAATCTGTTTAAGCGACATATTAAGTTCCATATATTTATATATATATAATATATGTATATGTATGTACAATAGAGAAACTACACGTATGCGCCTTAAGCAGATTGGGACAATTCGATAGAAAATTTTGGTCTGTACAATGTCCTTATAAACTCTACCGTTTCCGTAATAAAACTTCGGTGTCTCTGGAAACTTACGAAATTTAATGTATGCCGCATATGTCGAGATATATGTGTCTCTTGGAATTAAGAAAAAAAAAAAAAGAAACGTGCCAGATGAGGGATTTTGTAAAAAGAGTACCGACCGTGTAACTTTTCCCTAGGGCGGAAACGTGAAAAATTTCTTCATTAATTTTAATGGTAAAAATTTTCACTTTTTACTTTCTGCCTGGAGAAAAAAGTTAAATGTTCGCATATAACTGCATATCAAAGCAAGATAGTTTTTTTCCTCTTATGAAATTGTTACGATAAGACGATGAAATTGTTTCGGACACATAAAGGACGTAACAAACATATATAAAGAGATCTAGTTATATTGACCGTGATCTCGTGTCTCACTTTTTATGAGAGCGATCGGAAGGGAGTGGTCGCTGCTTATATATAGGACGGATTGTCAAAATTTTTGTCTTAATGCTTGAGCTTCTGCTCTTTGCTCTCTTCGGCAAACTTGCTCGATAATGTATTTGTGCTACTGATCGTATTCGCAAATCGCAGCGGTTCGGAATTTCCCTACCCGCTCACTTATTGGCCAGGTGCACAAAAACGGGGAAAATCAACACGACACTTTTCTTTCTTTGTGCCATTTGATATCGGTTACACGTTCGCTGATTGGCACGAGCGGCTCGTAAGTTCCCAGAAAATCGTACAATTACTCGTTATTTGTTCGTACACAACTCTTATTCACGACTCGACGGTAATAATTTATTCAGTAAACCATAAACTGGAAGGTTGGTATTGGTGTTTGGCTGGCGAAAGCGGGGCCAATCCATAAACGGCTGTAGGCTGCATATGTGCAGGCAACGGATGTGCTGCATGACTCGCCAGTAACGGTCTGGCCGAGCTGTGATGAGCTGGCGGTGGCAATGCTCGACTAGAATCATACAACGTTAATGGAGACGAGCTGTAAAAAACGGGATAACGCACATTAGAAAGTCTCCATTAAGCTCTAAAAAAAGAAAATTATAAGTTTTTCTCTTATAATATAGATAGTCAGAGCTAAAAGCAAATACTTAGGGTAATTCCGGCAAATACGCCGCGCTGGGATTTACGCCGCAGAAGTCAGAAAAAATAGAAGGGATGGGGGTAATTTTCCCGTAACTACTCTGTTACATGCTTTTATGTTATATTAGTATTGAGTTATAATTTCAGTTTCTTACTGTTAATAGTAATGAAATTATTGTGAGTTGAATCGATTTGTCACTGTAATAAGTAACGCCATCATAAATTATAATCTACATAAAATGATTAATGTAGGGCGTGTAAA